ATTTGATAAGGACAGATTTGAAGAATAAATTCTCATTGGTTAGTTTATAATTACCCATTACGTCATGTGTAACCACAAGCCCAACTTTTGAATAATGACTTATGTCAAGGGTTTGTGTGGAGTTCCGAAATCACAAAACCTTGACATTGTGAGGATGTCAAAGTGTGAAATCTTTTCTCAATAATTATGTCTTCATGGATTTGTAAATTTTCTGTTGCATTCCTATCAAATTTTTGCAGACCAACTGAAAATTTATTGGTAATATGATACATATATAATCCTTGTTCAGTTATACAGGTAAACTTCGTTATCTCGACATTGACAGGACCATCGGAAAATGTCGAGATATCCGAGGTGTCGAGATATCAGAGTTGACGTCCAAGATTTCACTGCATCACCAAACACATACATGTATGTGTATAAGCTTATAATATACGTACATGACTTCAATATAGACTGTAGGTCAACTTATTACAGCAATCCCTCTTTTTTTAATAAAAATCTAAGAAGTTATTTTTTAAAATCTTATATATAAAAACTGTTCTTTCTCTTTATCGAAATCGTTCTAAATTTTTCCATCCAGCATTCGCGTGTTACTTGCTTTTTTGTCAGAACAGGATACGAAATGCGCTCTATAAACTTCGAACCGAACCGTATAAACATGATAAAGTCAACATCCGTGATACGAAAACATATTAAATGCGTAATTATTTTTTTTTCTTATTTCATTTAGGAAGAATATGCATTAATATTAATTTTTTAAGAGATTTGTGTATCTTAACTAACGTAGTGATATTACAGATGCATGAATTACGAATGATTCGGTTAATCGTGTCGTTAATCGGATTATTTCCTGTTGAATGCATTTTAACTACAAAATATTATTAGAACATCGTTTAATTCTTTAGTTTGAATTCATTCAATATGTTTATTATTCTTTGTAATTTAGTTATCTTTTTCAATTTTAAAAGTTATGTTAGGTTTCGACATAAATAAACACCTGTGAATTTAAGCAGAATAGGGTAGATTTATCAGTGATATTACCTAAGCTGAACATTAAGCAATTAACTTCTCAAAGACGCCGATGGGGCTTTGGATTCACCTACAAACACAATCTATAGAATTAACTAAGCAGCGTGCAGTCAAAACATGGGTGTGAAAGGTGTGAATAGATACCCGGAGCCGTCCGTGCGTGACGAGCGACCCTATCTGACAAACAGTTAGGTTCAGTGGAGCAGAAAATTGCCGATGTCGACATATACCAGGTAAATTTTGCTCTTGGGACTGTGAATATACGTCGAGATAACCAGGGTTGTCGAGATTACCGAGGTCGACATATCAGAGTTTTTGCAAATCATTTATATAGTAAATACTGCCGGGACCGCGGACGGACGTCGACATATCCAAGGTTGTCGACATATCCGATGTCGAGATACCGAAGTTTACCTGTATTTATTTATAGAAGTCAAAATCAATTTAATCAGATTTAAATTCAGTTGGATTTTTTTTATGTAGATTTTGCTTTCTTGAATATTCTTTAGAGATCTTGGAGATCTATGTAAACAAATAAAGACATGTCCTTGGAGGAAAAAAAATCAATGAAGTCTTTTGTCATTTTACCAACCAGAGTTACCTTTCTTAGAACTGTCAGCTTTTAAAACACCTTGCTCATGAGCATCAGGTGTTCATTTTAAAATTTAATATTATTTTCCAGAAAGAAAATAACTGGAGCTGACTTATAAATCTTCTAAATCTCAGCTACGATTCAATTGGTCGGTTTGCTGGAAAGTTTTCTGTGATTTGTGCATTTAGGGATATATACATGTTTGTTCTAGATATTAAACATGTGACTGCTTCAACAGCTACCCGTAGACCTTTAATAGCACCTTAACTGAAGAAAAAAGAAATTGCCTTATTTGTTCTCACAAATCACTTAGATCTTGAATTCAGTACCAGTAATAGCAGACTGCAGATGTGCAATTTATTTTTCTGAGGGCAAGGGATGCAAGATTTGAAATAATATAAATATTTTGAATCAAAAATGTACTGGTATGTGATTACCATACACATCTTAGTCTACACATTTCTTTTTACCATCCTCAAGATTAATGATAACTGTTGATCAATGATATTAAAAAAAAAAAAACCTATTGATTTTTTGGAAGGTTAGGATTCTTGGGTTTGCCGTTGTTCTGTTAGAGTGATGTAGGATGTGACAGCTAAGAACTTGATTGATATTGGTATAGGGCAGGCAGGTGTTTCAGTGGAGAAAAACTTACAGAGACGGCAGTAGTCCCTGTCAATTTTAAGACATGCAGAGTACCTAGCATTCCAAAAAATAATAAAATTAAAAAAAAAGAAGAAAAGATTTATGACCTAATTCACCAGTTCAATGCACCAAGATAAAAGTATCTATAAAATAAAACTCAAACACTTATATATATGGGATGAGTTTGCATGCACAAGTGCAACAGACTTTAATAAAATTGCATGCACATATACCAGTGTCTTCTCTTTATTTCAAAGTAAAGGGTTAGGGAACAATTGTAACAGGCTATGAGGTTTAATATGAACAAATTTCTATGCATTTTAATACAACAATTTAATTTTGTAAATCTCAGGGAAGATACTAATATACAAAGCATTAAATCTTAGTTTGACTTGTCTTTCAAATATTCATATCATTATACAAAAGAAAAAAAAAGCTCATATAAAGCAACAATATTTAAAAAAAGTACACATGTATGAAATTACAACACTGAGAGGGGTGAGGTGGTGGTGGAGCATACATAGTGTAGCTGTTGCAATTAGCAGTGAACTTCTAAATAATGACTCGATTAAAACACCTGTAAATCTACCTTATATGAGACTGAATCATGCATAGCACAGATTCAACCCATTCACCTGTAAACAATATGAACACCCATTCAGTTTCCATAACCAGTGTGCCTATATTAGGCCATTATTTACACACTGAATTGTCTACAGATTTTTCTGTTTTCCCCGATTATGATGAGGAGCACAAGACGGGTATGACCGTCGGCAGGGGATGCTTACTCCTCCATGGCACCTGATCCCACCTCTTGATGTTTTTGGAGGTCTGTTTTGCTGTGCTCCCGATCTGTATTGTCTAAATGGACTTTGAGCTTGAATACTGTTCGTTATATCCATATTTCATAACAAACACACGTTTTCCTATAACTTTTATATGTATATACAAACAGGAATTTCGATATTTTAATATTTTAGAATGCAGTTTTAAATTTCAATTTAGAGGAATGAAGCCCTTTAATGAATATATCTTCATATTCTGTCACTACACCCAGCTTGCATGAATTTGGCAGAGAAATTTAGTGTAAAATATATTTTATTGATTTGTTACGCAAGAGCATTCTCTACGTACGAATATACATACTGTATCATTTAAATGTTGAAATTTCATTCTGAACATATAGTCAGATTTTACAAGTAAGTATGTACAAAACGTAGCCAGAGTTCACTGACACAAAACATTTAAGAAACTGGAAATTGAAAGTTTTAGTCCTTCATCTTAAATCCTCTGATGTCAGAGATTTGCTGGGCATTAGCAAAGCTTCAGGAAGTGGCACAAATGCCCCAAGCTTACAAGCACTTCCATCACCCGGATTTGATTCCATCAAATTATTTCTCTCAAATCCCAAAATCAATAAAGAGATTTCCATTTTTAAACAGTGGAAAAATGTTATGACACTGTCTTCTACCAGCGACCTGTCTTGTTCTTTGGGAGGAAAATTGAAATGGAATAAATTGCAGAAGCCAGACTTCGTGATCTTAAAGGTCTGATAGATGAATGATAATTGGCAAAGAATATCTGATTTCTAATTTCACAAAGGTTTTCTGAGAGTCATGTTAATTGGAAACCCAGAAAATGAGATTTTACGAGACAAATCATTTTACGATTTTTGGATATTAAGAACACTACACCTAGCATAGATCTGAATTAACAGCTAGACTGCCTCGGTTCCTATCAGATAACAAGACAGTGATAATTTGATTGATAGAGATGATCAATAGAATATCTACAAGTTGTAAAAGTTGTTAGGAATTCACTTGGAGAGTATATATTTGCTTAAAATTATTACACAAATAATGGAGGGCATTTCTATATATATATTAAGCATATTTAAGTATATGCTTCCGCTGAAGAAGTTAATGCATACCACATACATAATCATTCATTTTTACCGGTATTCAATATTATGTTAAAATGAAAATGATGAAGATAAGAAACAATGATTGATCTAAAAAAAAAATCTACAAACAATATAAGTGTGTGAGCAGGGCATAAAACACATACCCTCAAAATTTCCAGAGTTGGGATCAGGTGCCTAGGAGGAGTAAGCATCCCCTGTTGACCGGTCCCAATCAGCTCTATGTATTGATAGGTAGAAGGAACATATTCTGTAGCCAAATTTAGTATAAAAACAAAGGCCTACAATATTTGGTATGAAATATGTCAAAAAAATGGTAACAATTCGAAATTATTGTAAATGACTGTATAGATTATAAAAAAAAAGTTTTTTTTTGATTTTTTCTTAAGTTTTGGTAGAAAGCAGTTCAGTGCTGCTGTCTTAATTCAGTCATACTATAGAATATAAATCCTTTTCAAATTGAAGTAAAAAACAGAAGTAAAATATACATAATCATACTGATGAAATATCAGTTTTGAAACTCAAGGTGACATATATATTAGACAATGCTATTTTTGAAGCTTGCAAACTTCTTTCATCATGACCAGGGAGATAGGTGTGTATACAGAATTTTATTTTGATATTTGATAATGGTATTAAGAAAACTTGCTTGAAAATGTGGGATTTGAACCCACAAACTGTCTCTACAGCCAGATGAATCTCTTCTTACTATGAGCTCATTACTTTATTTACTTAGTGTTTAGTTAAGTGCTTAGTAGATCATTTACCTTTGTTACTTTAATTCCATTTGCAAACATTTCTTTAACACAGATCTTCTATTTGGTAACTGCCAGCGACTGGACAGGAGCCAGGACTACCATCAATATCGCTTAAATGAGGAAGCATTGTCTGCCCTCGAGGAGCACATCCTTCACCTAATTACAGCAGGCTACACTTGGAGGGACCCCTATACTCAATGTGTCCTCCAGAATGCCCTACTGGCCAGCAGGAGGCAGGTGCCCTTCAAGCGTTACGTGTGCAAGCTCGCCTCAAATGAAGACAGGGTAGGTGGTGAGATGGGAAGGTACCTCGAGCAGATCTTCCAGGATTACTACGACTCATACAAGCCTTCTGCAATTCCTCCTGAGGTGAAGCGAGAGGATGACATCATTCGTGTCCATAAATATTTCGAGAAGGAGCCAGGAGAGCAGAAAGGGTTTTCTGATAAATATAGTTACGATGACAAAGTGAACCTCCTTGAGGACTTAAAATTTCTTGGTGCTGACAACATAAGCTTAAAAGATATCCAGGCATTGCAGTATTATTTAGAATCCATTCGAAATGATGAAGATGGAGAGAAGGGATTATATGGGGGTTATTATATACCAGACTCTCAGAGGGAACAGCAAGAATATGGTTATGATGGAGGAGACTGGGTGGATAAAAAGCACCTACAGCAAGGGACCTCCTCACAATGGACCTCATCAAGTCAAGGTGAATTTTTTTGTAAAGCAAAAAATTAGAAATGTCCTCAATTCAGAATAGTTTTTACACTGAAACAGAACCTGCATTACAAATGTACATGTAGGTGATGTTGATAGTCCAACAAGACATCAAGTTTTTTTTTAGTTAATAATCTGGAAAAAAAAAACAAGGCGTAGGATGGGCCAACAATAGGAGGTCTCAGTTTGATACTTTAATTTGATTTATAGAAAAAAATCTTTAAAATCCCCCCCCCCCCTTCAAGACCAAGAAAGGAAAAAAAAATATTCATATTGATAAGCCAGCATCCACATACATGTATATGGTGTTTAATCAAATTTAATAAATCATGGTCCCTGAAATAGTTTAGGGTCTGATTATGGATGGTCAGAGTGTGTCATGGGTGAAAATAGAAAAAAAAATATCTTTAAAAATCTCCTCAAAAACAGAAGACTGCAATTAGTTATATTGAAATGCCAGTTTCCCCTTGTACATGTATTGAAGGATTATAAGTTCAATCAAATCATATACATATATAGTTAACACCTGTAGGAAGAGCAGTACATGCAGCTGTTGTGGGTTCAAGTTAAGGTTTCAATTTGCAGTTACATATGTAATGGTTTCACATGAATCTTTAAGATTTGGAAATGTTGATTATGTATTTTCTTTCTCTTTGAGAGTCTTTTGAATTGAGGTTTATTTGTACTAGATAACCAAGCAGTTTATCCCTTTGATGAGGAGTATCCCTTTAATGCAGAGAAAGAGGAAATTCTGAATAAATTGAAGTCAGGTAAATATTGTACTTATCATTTCTAAATATTAATTGTAAGAAATGATCAGAAGAATATATGTAGCATTAATTAAGCGACAATTAAATGCACCTGCGACCATTAATGCTTTAATTATTATGTAGGAGTTGCTGAAGATATACGTAGGAAATGTTTGCTAGAGCTAGCTAGGTACATCACTTGATTGAGTGAATTTTGTGGCCAAAGATTTGCTTACACATGTATAATTTTCATGCATTGAAATGGTTCATATATAAAGCAACACTTGGGCAAAGAAAAAATTCAGACTTTGCACTTTGATCCAAATGAAATTCTTTCCGCTGTAACCTGTGGTCCCATAATCCTTTGCTAATTGCATCTCGCTGTAAACTATGTTCTCCGGGTAGCAACAGAGAATTCAGCAAAAAATAAAATCAACTTGATTTAATGGATATTGCAGAAAAACAGTAGATTAAATGTTCCTTATTCAAAAATTAGCACTGTTCAGGATTTGGTTTGGTAATGCAACTTGCATACAACGTCATGTGCCGTCAGAGTCTAGGCGTACCAAATGTCAGGTGCGGTTTGAAGAGATGGATGTTAATTAAAACTGAATAGGTTTTAGGTATCTGCAGGTGCTTGCCCTTATGGTTCGCACTGTCAACATATTAGAGTCATTTTTTGCAGGTGAGATTTCAACCAGTGCTCTCTCTGATGAAGAAATCACGGATCTGATAAACTATATTAACAGACGGCTACCTCCAGAGAGCAAAAGCAAGGAAGGAACAATCAAGTCACATGACCTTCAATTAAGTAACAGTGGTGATGATTGGCCAAACATCAGACCTATAGGAGACAGTTTTGTTGGATCTGAGGATCAGATGGGAAATTGGGCTGGTTGGTATTGCATATATTAAGTTTTGGACAAAGGATAAATGTTGAAAGAAAATTTGCTTTCTCATTGATTATGCTAGCTAGATGACTTTGATTACCTCAGCATTTAAGATAATGTTTTATTTGGTGTTTTTGGTTGTGTAGAGATCAAGGTACCAATCATATCATTTAAGTACCTTTTAATATTGTGTGCCCTGAAATCATTCCATTGGATGAAATGTAAGTGCTAGGAAATACTTTGAAAATAACATCTGAATGCAGATGATTGATAGAAATTTTTTAAGACCTTTAAAATTTCAATTCATTAATATATAATATACATGTTTCTAAAGTGATAATTGCAAATAATAATCTAGCAGTGCATGTGAATTAAGTTATAATTGTGCAGCCTCCCTTATCAAATGGTGATGTACGTGTGATGGTGTGATGGAATATTCTGTGATTTTGTTTAACATTATTCCACACTTTTTCTCACTAATGCGTCATAATTTGTCATGATAATAATCTACATGTAATCATGAATATGGAGCAATTACAAAGTTTGAGTCCAGCAATGACAATTAATTGACATTATAGCTAGAGTGTTGTTTTGTCAACATTTTTGCCACAACTTTGCCTTTCAAGTTACGCTGTACATAAAGGACAAGATAGACTAAGACCCCTTTTTGATCCCTGGTTTGGGGTATCTTTTAGAATGATACAACAGTTTATCAATTAAAAACCTGTTGTCGTCCCTGCCACAAAATGAGTATTGTTTCTAAGTTATGGGATACACAGAGGTCACAGGAAGGTCAGAAAATATGTAAATTTCCGAATTTTCTCACTTTTACGCAAATTTTCATTGATTTTACAGCACATTTTGGTTCAGAAAACATAGAGCACAAGATTGCCTATCTACCAAATTTATATATTTCATACACTAGTATCAGATGCATCTTGTATATAAAAATCTCAGATAGGCAAGCTTGTGCTCTATGTTTCGCAAAGTGAAATGTATCTCAAATTTGACGAAATTCGGCCAAAATTGAGGAAATTCGGGAAAATGTCTCACTTCTGCACCCTCTTGTGGCCTCCGAGTAAGCTTTGAATCAAAATTAGTGCTGGTTTTAAAATGAGCATCATTTTAAGTTCTTAACTACAAATTATCACAATTTTGACTGTATTCTGATTTTTACATTAATTAAGGGGCCAGATTTGGCTGTTACCATACCTTGTCCTTTCTTTCTGAAATCAAAGATAAAGTATGTATTTAGATTAAATAAGAGTTGCTCATTTTGCTCACTTTCATTGAATTTACAGTCCTGTAAATTTTGAAAAATGAAGAATGATTGTATTTTTATGCCCCCATAATCAGAGATTCTGGAGCATATAGTTCTTGGTCTGTCTGGCTGTATTATTGTCCACAAAAATGTTTTCCTTGTCCATTACTTTTGAACAGCTGGTGCTAGCTTATAAGGCTTTCATATTTCACATGTATAATTCCTTGTGACAAGACCATTCTTTGGGTACCACCATTTTTTGACCTTTTGATCTTGGAGTTTAACCTACTTTTGAAAAACTTCAACCTTATAGGCATGACTTGGGAATGGTTTGTGATAGGGATTTCTCTAGAAACATATCATGTCACATGTCATGTTTAAACCAATGAAAGCCTGTCATTCCAATCCAAGGGAAAATAAAGAAGCAAACTTGCATGAATGATATTCATGTATCTTGAGGTGCATACAGCCAGATTTGCTTTGGATGCTGCATCCAGCAATTGTATTCACATAGGGGTGACCAAAATATGTTAAAGTTTTTAAGCATAACCAGTTCCATGCAAGTAATAAAGCCTAATGCCTGTTTCTAACATCAGTGGATGTACATATATAGTGATCCATACATAAACTATCAGAATTACTATGATGCAAATCTAGAAAAGTGGTCAATTTACTTACTTGGATGATATATAGTCTATAAGGAAGCTTATAGACATGTTATGAACTGCTAGGCTGCCCCATATTTATAGAGGAATACTTTCGCAGATAGCAATTTTAATCTTTGCATGACCACCTATAATTTTAAATGATTGATACATATTGAAGAACAGACAGAATTTATGTTCAATTCACGTTGTCTTGTCTTCTGGATGGAATAATTGCCCTAGGCCTTGACCTTTAATGTTTTATATTGGCATTTGGCAAGGGATGTGTGATATCACAGTGAAATCATCATTGAGTGGTGATCTATTAGTATACTGAGTACTATTGAGCCAAAAAATTCACTAATTCCATGTGAAGATTTTTCAAAATAATTTCTTTAACATTAGAAAATAATTGAAAAGCATGAATATAAGGATTTTCTACAGAATTTCATCTACTAAACTGATGGATACACCTATCACATACAGTAGAAATTTGATATCATGAACATCTATATCTCGAATACCTTGGATATTTCTGAGTCATTTGGAAATCCCAACCTACTGTAGATCATCAAATTTTCTCAACATCTTTTTTCTTGTGAGAGATAGTTTTTTGATATTTGTAAGTGAGACAAAATTTTCATGAAATTTGGTTATTATTAGTTCACCTGAGCTGAAAGCTCAAGAGAGCTTTTCTGATCACCTGTCGTCTGTCCATCAGTCTATCTGTAAACTTTTCACATTTTCAAATTCTTCTCAAGAACCACAGGGCTAATTTTAACCAAAGTTGGTATAAAACATCCTTGGGTAAAGGGGAGTTTAAATTTTGAAAATGAAGGGCCAAGCCCCCTTCCAAGGGGAGATAATTAAGAAAGACAAAAATAGGGTTTGGTTATTAAAAAATCTTCTAATGAACCACTGGGCCAGAGAAGCTGAAACTTTAGTGGAAGCTTCCTGAGGTAGTGTACTTTATAAATTGTTCCAATCATGGCCCACGGGGGTAGGGTAGGGCCACAATAAGTATTTCAGGGGGGGAAATCTTGTGAAGAACAGCAGGGCCAAAGTTACTTAGGTGAGCGTTGTGGCCCATGGGCCTCTTGTTGTACATAATCTATGATAAAACAAATCTACAGGAGAATTAAATTTTTGCAAGCAGATGGTCTCATGAAATTAAACTAAAAATAAAATAAGTTCATGTGAACAAAAAATAATTTACACAGTATGTTTTTAATTCTGAATATCTCGATCCCTTGGATATTTGGAATTTTTTCCTCAGTCCCATCAAGTTTGAGGTAATGAAGTATTACTGTATATAAAGGTCTCACAAAGTCCTATTGTTATACTTGAAACTCCCTTTAGAAGAACTCTTTGATGTAGACAATAGGATTTCCTCTTTGCACCTGTGTCCTCATACTGGTATCTGTTTATAATTATAAGACTGCTCTGTTTTGAATTCAGGGAAAACAGGAACCCTTTGTTCCATTCTTTTGCAAGTTTTATTATTTTTTTTTTAGTGAGGAACGTCATAGTTGTTTATTTTTTCAGCAGGGAAGGTGATAAATTTTTTTTTACTGTAAAGTTGAGAAACATGACAGCTTTTTTTCCCCTATGAAAAAAAAAAAAATTAAAATGGATACATGATACAGAAAACTGGCAGTAGGTACAGTAACTATATAAGTTCTTCAAATTTTCTGGCCCCCATTTTTGCTTTGGTAAAAATTGTTCATATGTCCAGATCAAAGTTCAGTGTCTCAAAATTTTTTTCTATTCATTTAATAGATGTTTTAAGCAGTATATATGCAAATATATGAGCTCAATTTCTTTATAAATTATTAATTTCCTGTAACATTAAACCATCTAAGTACTGCTATACTTGCACACATAAAGGAGTTTTCATCTGAATGTTTTAATTTAAGTATCCATCTTCTAATTTATGGTTTAAATGCAGTGCTAGCTATCATAGTATATGAAAATGAAAAAAAAGGAGAAATATAATAGAGATTATTTTTCTTAATTATATACCTTTTAATTACTCAAGAGGAAAACAGACCAAACATTCAATTTCAAGAAAAAGGATATAAGTAATCTGTGAAAACAGAGTTGGTACGAACCCCCCCCCCCCGCCCCAACAACAACAACAACAAAAAGCCTTTGTATAACAAAGATATGTTTGTAGAGCAGATAATATAATTATAAAAAATTCAAGTAGTATCACTTGAAACAAGGAGTGTCCAAAAATTAGTACAATGTGTCTAAAATTTGGTATGAGGTCAGTAGTAAAAAAGCGTTTGGAAATCTATTTGTCCTCTTTCCTAATGTAATCAATATACTATCTTAATATATCCTTTACTGACCAGGCCCAAGGATCATGAAAATAGACTAAGATTTAACTCAAATTTTCTGTTGCCTTTAAAGGGTTTAAAAATTACTGAATTAATCTCTAAATCTGTAGATAATAACACTTTTGTAAAGCAATATTGAAAATAAGTTAAATTTTGGTTTGCTTTGACTTCTACAACATTTTAGTACAACGTCATAAAAATAAGTTTTGACTTAAGCTTAAGATGTTTCATGATTCTGAGGCCAGATCATATCCCTTCTGTGTGTACTACATGTGATATTTTTGATTGGATTAGATGGGGGAAATGGAGGAGATGACAATAGTAAGGTGGATGAAGCCACCAAGGAAGAAAATGGAGACAAGGAAATGGATCAAATGGAGGATGCTGACATTAAAGGTATTAATACTGGAAGATATTGATTCAAGCTCATCCTGAAAACCAACTTTTCTTTCAATTTTTTTAACCTTTTTTTTTTGCAATTCATGTACCATGCTGGGATGGTGGTCTTCTTCTAAAGCAGTTGTGTTATATGGTTCCCATTTATTTCTTTTCAAGGGAGGAAGAAAAGATGTTTTCAGCAGCAAGCTTGAAAAATTTCATTTCTTAAATAAATAAAATTTTTTTGAAAGTTGACTGGGAATGAAATTGCTTTATAGCTTGTATGGAAATTCAAACTTTTATGATTTTTTTTTCATTGATTGCGATTTTCAAGTGTGTTAATTATTATCTGACTATGTATTAACATTTTTACTTTTTGATGCAGGAATTGATAGGTATATTCATTTCTAATTATTTATTTCTTCATTAGTTATCCCTTTTAGGAAAATAATAATTAGTACATGTTTGATCATTTCATGGCATGATAAGAACTTTAAAAGCAGGAAGTGGCTTTACATTAATTGTGTAAATTTAACTAATATTATATGAATCCTTTACCTGATGGCTAAATTTAAATTTTAAGTGCAAGTTTAACATACTTAATGTTCTGAAAGAGCGAAAATAAACTATGACAGACAGTATTTTGGAGCTATATAACTCTATATATTCACTATATGTGTTGCCTTCCTTAGATTTCACAGTTAGTTTTGTATCCTGTTAAGTAAACTTTATAAAAATTCACTGACTTCAGACTGCAGTTGGCAGGTTTCATGATGTATACTGTGTAAGTGGAAATTTTAGTGATACGCAAATTTAGGGATTTCTCCTTAAAAATCGGTATTTAATTTTAGCAAAAAGTAATTTTAGCGATTTTACGATGTAGAGAAAGAAAACGGTAACTTCTGATGAGGATTAAATTTTTAGCGAATTAAATTTAAATTTAGCGATCTCAACACCCTCACTAAAAATACCAAAATTGAATCCTTGCTAAAATTTCTACTTCTACGGTATATTGTATTTGCTGTTTCAATTGACATGAAAAGTTAAGTGTGCGGCCATTAACAGTAATTTATTGCTGACAGGTTATCCTTTGACAATTCTGTGAAAGAATTTAAAATACAATTTTACAACAGTATACAATTATAATAAATAGCATTTTGTTTAAATATGAAGTAAAATAATGTAACAGATGCTCAACAAATTGCATTCAGAGCATAAATGAATCATTTTTACAATTGATAAACAACTGTTACAGTTAAATAATATTAATTCTTACTGAAATGTGATCTCTTTCCTTTTAGATAGCAGATAATATATGTGAAGTTTCAGGTTCAAGTTTTTTAATTTTCTTAATAAAATTAAATTATACATGGTCGAATGAAAATAGTATTCTGTGTCAATATTTTAAACATTATAGGATTGACTATATAAATTATTTTGTTCATTGAGAAATGAATCTAAAAAACGAATCGCACACTTTATGAAAGCCGAAGGCTTTCATAAAAAAGTGTGTGATTCGTTTTTTAGATTCATTTCTCAATGAACAGAATAATTTATATAGTCAATGCTTATAATTTAATTTCAGTGAAAAACGTTTCTTTTCGTGTACATACTCATTATTTAGCTAACTCAAAAAATTGTGCACGGAATTTACATGCCGACAGGTGCGTAGAAATATATCGATTGGAAAATTACACGATTCTGGGAGCGGATCTAAAAGCCTGTAGTACACAAGGCAGGTATAATTTTCTTTTAAATGTCATAAAAATAAAGAATTCCCCGTTATGTTTTATTGTCTTTATAATGATTTACTAAGTTATCGATTACGTGAGTTATGAAAATCTGCACGTACAATTTTTAAAAGCGATTACACATAAAGCATGCAGAAACTTGCTTTGTTGTCAGTAAGCAAACGGTCAACGGTAACACATCGAGTGGAGTGCAGTGGAATATTAGAAAGAGATATCTTCAGGTTAAAAAAATCTAGAAATAAACTTGCTTGTCGATACACCTTAAAATACACGTACAACTTGTGACAATTAACATGGTTAATACCCTGTATAAGTTTGATGTGCAGACGAAATACTTGAAAATGTGATAATAACACTCACATCAGGAAAACTTAGTCTAAGGTCCTTCTTATCATTTAATTTTCATAACCTACATAACAATTTTTTTTTCTAGTTTGGTTTTCAATTTGTACTATAAATTCAATGTAAATTCTTTCTTTACAAATAAAAAACGTAAAACACGTGCTTCTTTACAGAGTTATATCCCTTGCCATCCCCGGCATTACCCATTGACAACAATTACCTCGCTTAATAATTTATTTGAATACTTTTCTTTTTTCTTCTCAACAAGAATTTTTATTGTATGATTTAAAAATAGAAATATATGATTAAAATATTTCCTTTAAAGCACAGGGAGAGAAACAAAAGATTTACACAAGCTGAATTTAAATCATGAAAAGAACATTGTCGTACGTTTTAGAGACTATTAGTTTATAACACAGTTGGGTTTCTTCTATTATTGGAATGACAAACACAAACAACAGCTGTATCAACATGAATAATGAAAAGTAGTTTGGTTACTAAAATTGACATTACATTCATCGGAAAATGAACAGAAAAAATTCTCCGTAGAAGTACATTAGTTCAAAGTGATGAAAGTAAGGAAAATTGAATTATATTAACATTAATAAGATAAACAAGTTGAAAGTTATAAAGACATCAAAAGGACAATACACATGTGATATTGTGCTAAGCGAAAAATGTTGTTTTATAACATATGCCAAATATTGAACATTGGATTGAAATTTTTTAGCTGTTATAATAAGAATAAACAATTTCTTACATATTTTCTCCCTTAGTATAGCAGTAAATGACAAATTGGATCCAATTTTTGTCTCTATAAAGTTTCTGTTAATGGAAGAAGAGTTAAGAATGTTCCAGAAGACACCCAGCTACACTGTTCAGTTGGTCGACAGCTCACAATAGCTGTCAGAATTAAAGGTACTCCAACCAGCATAGAGCTTTCTCTTTTAGAACTCATGACAATCCATGTGATGGGGGATCAGAATAGGTCTATTGTTACAAAGTATAGCATCAACCATTGGTGACCCATCTGGTTTCAAACCAACCAGTGATAGCTTAGGTGCAGCACTAATTGCCTCAAGCAGGGGTGGGATCAGCCAATGGGTTTAACATTTCATCTGCATGGCCATGTTGTTTGTTATAAATTGGGTCTACACTTTCATACATGTTCATTTTTCTAAACTGGAGCTGCTGCTTTTGAGTAAATGTATCTTAACTTTCTCAAGGTAATTGAAATTTATTTATTTTTTTTTTTTTTTAATTTTTTTTTTTTAATTTTTTTTTTTATACAATTTGCAGACAGGTAAATGATTTAATTCAAATGTCTTTACAAATAGATTTTTTATTGGAAGTTGTGCTTTTATTTGTCTGTTGAGCAAAGGCTGAAAAGTAAATGCCAACGTCAAAGCAAAGTGAACAGATTGAAATTTGTTATAGGAACATGTATACCAGAATTATTGTAAGTAAACAGGACTTTTGATACAGTGATATTTCTGCTCTTATATGACATTAAAATTCTGTCCTCACCAACAGAAAAGTTTGTTAACATCTTATTTCTTCATTAAACTAGATCCTTAAACTTTGAAATAAATTTTGATGGACCAATATATGATCCATCAGTAATAATTTTGCTTTTTCCAGACAATGTATACAAAGAAGATGAGATTGCAATATTAATACTAAGCATTTCAATCTAGTAAAATTCTTATCGTTATTGAAGGGCTTTTGACATTTCCAACAGCACTATATGTCATTTTTATGGGGTGATCCCGTATGTGGTGGATTTTTTAATTAAGGGGTAGATTATTTGAAATGGTGACCAATATCTGCTCAAGGTTTTATCATGTCATGCTTTGAAATACTTCCCAGTCTTATCTTAAAATGGTCAAAATGCATTTGAAAGTTGATATCTGATTCAAACTACCTAGCTGTAGGTTTGTCCTTAACTATGATTCAAAAAAAAAAAAAAATTGGGGCCATCTTTAAAAATTTGTTTAGTTGCCCTCTCCCGACCGACTGGCTATAAATGGCCCAACTCAAAATTTTTTAACCTCCCGGAAACTATTATTTTTTTTTTCATGTATTTCAGAAAATAGATTTTGAAAATTTTCTGTGAAAAAAAAAATTTCCCACCTACCTACCGACCCAAATTTTTCATCCTGAGTCGGGAGAGGGCCAACAAACATTATTTTAAAGTTGGCCTGATTTATTCTCCAGAACCATTTAGCTGATTTCAACTAAACTTGGCACAAATCATCCAATGGTAAAGGGAATTCAGGTTTGTTTAATTAAATGGCCATGTACCCCTTCCCAAGGCATTAATTAGTTAACAATGTTGAAAACAAGTTGAGGTCATTTAAAACTCTTCTTATTAAGAACAAAAACACCAGAGGAAAGTCAAGAAACCCATTATGTATATAAATTAAAGTTCTTTCAAATATGGGGTGGGGGTACATTAGAAGGTGAAGATTTTCAATACATAGTGATAAAAAGATCACTGGAAAAATATTTTCAAGGACAGTATTTCATAGAATGTCAAATTATTATGAAAGCATCCCATCTTTGTAGAATTCAAATTTGTTCAAATAATGGTCCCAAAGCAAGGATGGGGCTACAGGATCAGGTGAAAGTTTTAACAACCCCCCCCCCCCCCCCCCAATGCATGTTCTTAAGGAAATATATTTAGAAAAATAAATATGAAAGCGTCTCTGTATACACAGGATTATAAAGATTTCCTAAATGGACAATGAGCCTACATGTACAGTTTAAAAAGTTGAAAAATGTATGAAGATGAGAGACATTACATCAAATTTACAGTGGTAAAGCCATAAATTTTATTTCTACCAAAGAGGGATTCATTTATCTACATACCTATTTTTCAGGAAGAGAAATATGCCTCATGTGAGCATTGTGGCCCTTGGGCCTCTTGTTTTGACAAGTTTAAACTTTAAATGTATTTGACAAGTTTAAACTTTGAATGTATTTGTGTAAACTTCAGAAAAGAAGAATGTGGAGACAATGATGGGACTAGTGACCAAAGCGGGGCTGAGTGCCACTGCCTCCACCATGACCACCACCATGGGAGCCACACAGAACACCAAAAAACCTATACAAACAGATGTCTACTGGATACAGATGGGAGGGAAGTAAGTCAGAGTGGAGGTCTTCAACTCCTTGCACAAATATGTCATGTTGAGAGCATTTCAAATTTTCCCAAAGTCAAGGATGTGACCCTTCCTTTGACCTTGACCTCATATTTTCTTCTTTGTATTAAGATCATTTTTTTAAATATGTCAGGGATAATTTGATATGCCTACATACACAGAGGCATCTCAGTGAAACAGTTTATGGTGTAAAAATTATGACCTTGTCCTTTCCAAATGACCTCGACCCTGGATGCCCTTTTTGTAGTATAAGTAATTTTTTCATAGCCTAAAAGGATATGAATGTAATTTTTTTTGTTGAAAAGATATTATGTTGCATAGCGCATTTAGCCATGCTTATTTCGACTTAATTCATGATTTTGACCTCTCAGTTCTTGATTTTGTGTTTATTCAATCAGTTCTTTATACAGAAAGTGATATATTGAAGTGAATTTTTAAACAAATAATTCTTAATGGGAGCATTTTATTCGTGCCTAAATTTTAATTTTTGTGACTGAGCATCACAGCTGGTTCCACAAAAGGGACTACTATTCTTTGCTAACTTTTTCTCTGCGCAGACATGTGCTATCTTTCAACAATTATCACCTTACATATATAATTTCTGAAGTGTCTATCCAGTTCTTTTTTCTGGCAAATAGCATTCTTGAACATGTTGAATGAATATTCCTGTATCAAATTTAGAGCATACTGAACACATACGTCTGTCTAGGATCAGTAGTCAACCTTGCACATAAATAAGGTTATACTTATATATGCTCTCATTTTATACCAACTATCTGTATTGTCTTGGTTCAAAATTCATTTAATGCTGCATTCTGCACTCATGTAGCTCTTTTTCTTTCATTGAGTACGTTCCTAATTTCAAAGATTGTTAGCAGTTTTTTTATGAAGCATTATCTTTTTAGCTTACCTGAGGTATAAGCTTAAGTGAGTTTGTCTGATCATCACCAAATGTCTTGCATCCATCTCTAACTGTCTCTGCCTGTCTGTAAACTCCTCACATTTTGAAAATCTTCTCATCAGATCACTGGACCAATTTCAACCAAAGTTGTCACAAAGCAGCTTTGGGGGATGGGAATTCAGATTTTTCAAATGAATATAAGGGCCATACTTTCTTACAAAGGGAGATAATTAAGAAATAGTAAAAATTCAGTAACATCTTTAAAAATCTTTTTCTTAAGAACCAGAAAAAACTTCAGCGAAGACTAAATGTAGTTTCAAACTTGTTCAAATTATGGTCACTGGACTTGGATGGGCCACACTAAGACCTCCAAGTTTTTCATGAGAATAGATAGGAAAAAATCTTTAAAAATCTTCTTAAGAACACCAGGGATATGATAAATCATATTACTGTGCAAGCATCCTCAAGTAGTTCAGACTCAAGTTTACTCAAATAATGGCCTCTGGGAGTAGGAAGGGGCCACAGTAGTGGATCACAGTTTCACTTGTGAATATATAGAAAATTATCAAGCTTTAAAAATCTTTTTTTGAAGAACAGCAGGTGATTCAGGTGAACTTTGTTGCCCATGGGCCTCTTCTGCATTTTCTGAACATTTCCAAGACAAGGCATTGTGTACCATTACAACTAATTGCTTTCCCATGCTTCATGTTAATTGTATCTGAAAGCTGTTTATCATAGAAAGTTGTCCTCTACCTATGAATTGTTTTTCTTTGAACATTTTATTTACCATTAAAAGCAAACTTCAATTATATTTTTGTTACAGAATCTTTAATAAAGTGGCAGATACACGTGATGTTTTGATCACAAGATGAGGTCTTTTTCATGTACTTGAAAACCCTTAGTATTTGTAAACTGAAAACAATGATAAAATGTTAAGGTCATTTATTCAAAGTGGCATGTTGCCATGTATTTTTATCAACCTAGCTTTCAACTCAAGTGAGCTTTTCTGATCACATATTGTCTGGGATCCATTTTTTCCCGATCAAGACAAGGAGCACACGGTGGGTGTGACCCATTGGCAGGGAATGCTCCTCCATGGCACCTGATCCCACCTCTGATGTTTTAGAGGTCCGTGTTTGCTCGGCTCCTGATTTGTATTGTTTGAATGGACTTAACGAGCTTGAATTCTGTTCGTTATCTCCATATTTCATCCATCCATCTGTTTATTTGTCTATTTGTCTGTGAACTTGACACATTTTTAATTTTTTCTTTGAGCCTCTCTCAACTGAACTTTGCACATGGCATCCTTGGGTAAAGGGGATTAAAAATTGTTGAAATGAAAGGCCATGTCCTCTTCAATGTGGAGATAATGGGGTCATTTAAAAGTCTTCTCATGAAACACTAGTGCAGAAAAAAAAAACTTTCTTGACATAGTCTTGACTCATATTTGTTCAGTTAGTCCTGGGCAACAAGATGGGCCTCAAATGGGTGAACAAAATTTCACATTGGAATATATAAGAAGAAAATATGAATAAAATCCTCTTTTCAAGATCAACAAGGCCGTGACACAACATGTTACAACAAGGACATATTGATCTAAAAATGTATGTGATAATGCACAAAAACCCTTTTTGTAAAAATTATACAACATTGGTCCAGAGTTGCAGTTCAAGGTGGGGGTGATTTAGTCAAAGCCTGAGGTACTGTTGATACTCAGCTAGCTGACCTTCAAGGCCCATGGGCCTCTTATTGTATATAGATATAATACATAGAAATTTTGATTTCACTTATTCTTTATTGCACCAAGTAGTATCTAGAGATGTTTAGCAATAATTTCATATTAAAATATGTAGGCTGAAATAAGTACACAAGGAAAACTTGACAGAATCCAGAAAGATCAACTTAGAGATATGATCAACTACCAAGTAAAAAAAGATTAAGTAAAAAAACAAAAAAAAAACAAACAAACAAACAAACAAACAAAAAAAAACCCCAGAACAACTAGTGCTTAAAGAGAGTTGTTATTTAATCATCTATCAACTGGAAAGAAAACATTAGTTTGTCTCAAAATGTCTTCATAGAACTGCACCATCCAAATTAATTATTTATAGTCTTGGTACTAAACAGGTATTGAGGGATTCTTGAGCTTGTATAACTGAATGATATAAATGACGGGATTAATCTTTTTTCTCAGACGAAGGTTTTTGTAGGTTTTTATGTAAGAACTTGACTCCAGACTCTTTGTACCTATATATCATAATGATTATTGTGGATTGAAATAAGAATACATTAAAGCACTTTTTGACATCTTTTATTAGAACTAGATTCAGCCCAAATCGAAAGATCTGCTTTATTCAAATTCAGTGGTGCTTTTTTAGGTCATCTGAGCCAAAGGCTCTTCTGTTCAAAATTTGTCCATTGTATGTTGTTGGTGTTAACTTTTTACAATTTCATCTTCTTCTCCAGAACTGCTGGGCCAATTTCAACCAATTTTGGCAAAGAATATCCTTGGGTGAAGGGAATTCAAGTTTGTCCAAATGAAGGGTCACTCCATCTTCCAAGGGGAGATAACTAAGAAAAAAGTAAAATTTCTGTGGGGTCATTTATAAATCTGCCACTCAAGAACCGCTGGGCCAGAAAAGATGAAACTTATGTGAGAGCTTCCTCACACGGTGTTTGAAATCATGATCCCAGGGGTAGAGTGGGGCCACGATGAGCTTCAAAGTTTTACATGGGTATATATAGGAAAATTCTTTAAAACTCCTCTTCTTGAGAACAGCAAAGCCATGATCAGTCATATTTATATGGCAGCATCCTGAGGTAGTGTAGATTCAAGTTTGTGCAAATCATGACCCCCTGGCGTAGAAAGGGGCTTCATTCAGTGATTTATGTTACAAGAATTGTAAAAACTTTTATTGCTACATAGGAGTATATAGGAAAAAGAATCTGCTGATGGAAAACAAGAATGACCATTACGTTTTTCAGGTGAATGTTGTGGCTCATGGGCCTCTTGTTTAATATGGGTTGTTTCTTCTTTCTTATTTCAATTATCCAGAAAACAATATATACCTCCAGAGAAGTCATGAATCACTTATATATAAACTTTATGTAGCATGATTTTTTTCTCCTAAATTGTCATTCTGTGGATGTACCCGTAGTGGTAAGATTTTTTGGTTAATGAAACCTTATTTTGTTGTTTTTTGTTTCAGATTAAATGGAGAACAAGCTGAGACAATTTTAAAGTTGATTAACAAAGCATTAGAAGAGGAGCAAGCCAACATCAAAATCATACAGGCTGAGTATGTCTTTTGTGGGGGTGCAGCTGTAGAACTGTAGCTCTCTGGTCGAGAAAATTGGGACATCAGACAAGAATTTACATTAACTTGCCCTTGATTAAAAAATAGGTTGATAAATATACATGAGAGGGGGCACTAATGCTATATAAATGGGTGTAAAATTAGTCTTATGCATAACAATTCCATGCATGCATAGATAAATACATTTGAACTTTGGTATCTTGAACACTGATATCTCGATTACCATGGATATGTCAAAGTGATTTGGAAGTCCCAAACACTTATTCTTTTTAAGTATTTTAACCTCGATGTCTCGAATCCTTGTATATCTCAAACTTTTTTCTCGGTCCCATTGAGTTCGAGATAATGAGGTTTGACTGTATGTGGCACCTCTCTCTTTCTCTCCTTTCCATGTGGCACCAGTATTTAGAAAGGTTTCAAAACAAAATCGACAGTATGGTCACTTACATATAGCTATTGGTATGGATAACCATGAATCAATGCCTGATGATTTTTTTGTGTTTGAAAAATAATCCCAAGTAGTTCCGTTCGTAATGCTCATGGGTCACTACCTTATACGGTAACGGATGGAATTTAGTATTCACAAAATTACCTGAGGTATTGAGATCATGCACACGGCGAATTATAATATGTTATAGGTCACAATTAATGCTTGGTTATATACAATACGGAGAACATAAAGATAAGAAAAAATAGTTTTTTCTCTTTTTTAAAGCATGAGTCCATATTTGTCTATATTGATCTCCTTTTAACATAAATTTAATACGTCAATTACCATTAAATGGAAAACAACAGACAAACATGCGCTGACTGTGCATTAAATCAGTAAAGAAGTGGGCGTCCTCATCAAGAAATCATGCTGACCTTTGCCTATGGCAACTGATTCTCACTTTGTAAATATAGACTTTTTTTTAGTGTAATTATATAAAGTTGCAGTTTAGATGTTGATCATTCTTGTAATCAAAAGAAAAATGGTCTTTTTGAAAGTTGATTTTGTCGGAAATTTTTGTTTGTTGTTAAGTATAAGTCATCCTTTATTTTCTACTAATATTATTTTATGTTAAGGGTTTCTTTTGAATGTGGAATTCCCTTTCCCATCCCTAAAAGCATTAGGAATAATGTAAGAAAGAGGCCTTTTCTTAAATGAAGATTTTGAATAACTCGGTAAACTGAATATATATTACATGTACACAGAGTGTTGACATCAATATACATACTGTACATTATCTCTCTCACAAATTTTTATGATCAATTTTTCTCAAGTACCAAAATGATTATCATTAAGTTTAAAAACAATGCATATTACCGGTTTTATCTTTACCTGACAGATTAAGACAGGTTGTCCATCATTAAATTCATGTTTCATCCTGAACAATTTTAATTAATCTGTAGTTACATAATATTTAATTACATTTTATTTTACAAAAGTGCAAACATTTAAAAGATTTTTTTTTCCTTATTGAAATGATAAAATCAGCTTAATGGGAATGGCTGGTTATCATATTAGTAATACATTTGAATTTGAAACAATGAGATGTTATTTCTATGTTAAATTTTCACAAGAACGGGCAAGTGGAATAAAGGTGACAACAGGGGTGCATTAGAGATCATAGTAAGTCTACATAGCCACTACGATCTGATCAGTATGCTAGTCTGGCCATAAGAAGCATTAATTCATACAGTGCATTCAATACAAACTAGATACCTAACCTAGCAGCTAGGCTAGCTTCTATGATCTTGGACGTAGCCCTGATCAGATTTATATGTACAACAGGAAACAGGGGAAAAATATAGTGTACGGTAGCGGGCACTTAACCTGAACTTAACCTGTCATAAAACTGCAACCCCCCCCCCCCCCCCCCAGTCTCGAATAGTGATTTTACAGTATATTATTTCAGACTAGATTGGTATCAACCAAGTTATTAAGATTAAGTACAGGCAAGATGAGACTGAACAAAAATTGTGGTCATAGGCACATAAAGGGTGTAAAGAAAGTTTGTTCTGTTTGTAAATTTTGAAAAATAAATTGATAAAAGCAATATTTCTATTAAAAATTTATTTTGGTAAAGCTATAGAATATGTCTCATAACACAGAATTGGTGTAAAAATAATTGACCAAACTTTATTTCCTAAGAGGAATGGCCTGGCAATTCCCCAGACCTAAATTGCATAGAAAATCTGTGGAGTATCCTTGACAGTGAGGCCTACAAGGATCTGCACCCAACGTCCATGGGCCAATTACATCCCCGCCTTCAACGTGCATGGAGGAAAATACCTCAGAAACATTTGATTTCATTAATTCATTCAATGCCAAATAGAATTAAAAATGTACTGAAAAACAAAGGTGGACTGTCTGGTTATTAAAAGTAAAAAAAATTCCACATGAGTTGTTTATGAATAAATTTAGGCCAAATGTAAATCACGGGACGAACTTTCTTAACACCCTTTAGTATAACTAGTAAAATGACTATGTTTCCTTAATTGTCCCCATATTGTCAGCTTGATATGAGAAACATGATGTGCTTAAAACCCTTTTAGGCATTTATTAGTATTTGAAGTGAGTTCATGATTGGAAAAGTTGATTATTTGTTTAATTTTATCATTTTGCAGGAGAGATGAAGAAAATGGTCGTCTAACATTGAGAATCAACACCACTGATCCAAATGTCCCATTTAAAACCACCATTGGTAAGTCTCAGAAAGGGGATAGACCCCATTTAAACCCACCATTAGTAAGTCTTGGAAAGGAGATAGGCTCTATTCAAAACTACCATCAGTAAGTCTTGGCATTGGGATAGACCATGGCTGAGGGTACATTTCTTTGACAAGATTTTCTCATAGCTTTGAAAATGTCTTGATATTTCTGCAAGTATTTAAATGATATAAATGTTTCCAGGTAAATTAAAAATTATGTAGGCACCAGATACTTACGAGTGAAATGGTTCACTGCAGTATTGATTCACCACAATATTTTTTCTTGGTTTGATTACCGATGCAAAATCTTTGAGGACTGATAGTTTGTTAAATAATTTTTAACAGTCAATTTATTTTAGTCAATTTCTTGTAGTCAATTTGCACTTTGATAAGTGACTGAATTTAGTGAAACAAAACATATAACAGCGTTGAATTTGTTTCCTTCCTTTAAAATGCATTTGTATTAAAAATAATTGTACACCGAGACAAACTTATACGATACGTATCGTATCGTGAATGAAGTGTATCGCTTCACCCCCTACAGATACCGGCGTTGGACATCAACATATATGTCACCTAAAACCATTGAGATCAGGTGTGAGTATGTATCGAGATTGGCAAAATATCCCATATCAATGAAAAGGATTGCCTTGTGATAATACTTATAATTATATAGCCTCTTTGATGAATGATATTGCTTTTTTTAAAGGTTTTCTGATTTCTGCTGGAAGTCAGAGGATCGACTCTTCTGGTATTTCATAGTTTCCTAGTATATAAATTTTTTTTGGCTGCAAATTTTGCGGAGGTGTTTTCACAAACAAGTTTAGTCTGATTTTGATGGGCTTTTTAAACAGTTGTTGGAGCTTTTGAGTAAGACATGTTTGTCATTTCTTAAGACAAATGGAGGGAATAATGTTCCTCCATTTGTCCATTAGCCCAAGCTGACTTAAAGTTGGTATGGGCAATCTTTTCATTTTTTTTTTCAGTTTCTGATACAGGAGTTATACATGTATTTTCTGTAAAATTTTAAGAGAGAGATTAAATAAACAGATTCTTTCTTTAAGGCATGGATATTAGATCTATAAAGTTTTAAGTCTTTTTGAATATTTAGAATTTCCCTGCAAAATTTTATGCTGAAACCAAGTCTTCATGCATAGCAGTGTTTCAACCCTTTAAGGGATTGTGTATTATAGCAGTTAAGTTCCAAATATTGTGAAAAGGAGAGAAAATCATGAATAACTGACATTTACATTAATAAAAGAATACATTATGCCCTATTTGTTCTAAGTTTGATATTTTAAGAAATTTACTGGGAATCAAATGAGACAGAGCTGTCCATGATTAAAGCCATTTGCTTCTAATGGACCTCACATTAAATATATATATATATATATAATTCAAAAAAATCTTTAAAATGGGAAGACCATAAGCTTGTTATCATTATCTAGAAAATTTAGTCTGCTTTTTATTCATAAATGGTTTTTTTATGGTATTTATTTCTGTTACCAAGTAACACAGTCACAAATCAAGAAACGCCTGTTTTTCACACTGCATGATGGATGCTATACTTAAAACCTTTTGGATCAGCTGTTTATGTGTGTTAATTTAGCCAATAATTAGATCCATGAAAAACCTGCAACATGCATGGATAAGGCAAAAATTTCCCATTTAGTAATCTCATCTCCCAAAGCTCCAATTATCACCGTCGCAGCGTTCTGTTTAGACAGTCAATGCCTAATGAACACCTTGATGCTAGAGAGAGAGGGAGGGAGAGAGATGGAGATAGTGTGTCCGTCCTCTCCATTATGATGACAATCGACTTTCCATTTAAATGACAAAATGTGTTTCTTCTACTTTTTACCAGAGGCTGCTGAATTTTCCTTTACTTACAAGTAAGTATGGGGTAAATTTGTTTATAGAAATAAAAGCCATGGAAATCAACTCAGCAACAACTTGGTTCTTGGGGCTTGTTGGGAGTTTTTGATGCATTGTGTAGGGGCTTTCATTAAGGCTTAACAATAGTATATTGAACATGACAATAAACTATGTTTCCCTAATTGATCAGATCTACGGTATCTGACATTTAACCTTTAATATATATCAAACTTATTTTATGTACTTTCTATATACCTGTGGTGTGCAAAGGGTTCATTAAAGGCTGAACTGTGGATGTCACCAATAGAAAGCATATCCACATCAATGATTTTGTACAATTTTTTGGTTCCTTATTTAAGGTGTGAATTATTAGGCTTATTCCCCGAACGTCTACTCTCCAAAAACCAATATCAATTAAGGGGCCGTCTAAAGGGCACAGGAAGACTTATTTGTATGAATTAAGTGTATTTATAAACAGAAAAAAATCTAAGTTTTTTTTCAATCCTATTTAATGAGTTTAATATGATTATTATAATGTTAAATAATTTTTCTTTCTATTTAAGGGGTACAGGTAATGTTATAAAATCCCAATCAAAACTATTTAACAGCTTGAAAAAAAAAAAATTATTAGTACAATAATGATATTTTGATTTTTTTTGATTAATTTTATTTTATTAATATTTTTGAAAGATTTTTTTTTCTTTTAATTTTTGATGGAAATAAAATTTAATATATTTATCTGATTTATCAAGTATTGTTAATCCGGGTAAACACAGGTAAATCTACCTGTACCCCTTAGAGGGCCCCTTAATTGAGTGTAATAATTACTTGTTGTTTTTGGGGAGTAGGTTGTTTGGGGAACACACCAATTATTACTATACTGTAAGTGTAGGATGAAGGTCTGGCTTTAAGTGGAATCCAGTATAATGTTGCAGACTTGATGCTTTATGTTTTATCAATTCACAGGTCACAATCAATAAAAAAAAAAACAGTTTGTGAGACATGGGCTTAAATTGCTTTTAATGTGCTTTTTGAAAAAAAATCTGTTGTACTAAATTGTAGCAGGGATGTAAAATTTTATAAAAGAAAATTAATGGTCTTTAGATGATATCAAATAATAAATCATCATGATCCAAGTAATATCAAAGGGATGGAAAAATAATTTTTCACAGAGTGCTAGAAAGTGAAGAAAAACTTGCCACAGATCAAGTATTGTTTTTTTTTTTGGTGACATTCTGAAATATATAGCCAGCTGCCACTAAGCATGTCACACTGAGAGATGACACACTACTTGGCACTGCTTGCTTGGAAACTCATTTATTCCCTTTTATTTCCAATTTCTTCGGAGAGAAATCATTTGGGATAAATGATACAGCAGCAGTGCTATGTCTTGTCAGTTTTCCTCCGACAGATTCACTCCAAGGGCATCTTGGACTGTGTGCAATCATGTAATCGCTAATGAGAAGTTATTTTATCACTTGTTTTGTGCACTTCACTCAAATTTGCCGAGATAATCGCAGGACCACGGGCACTTCCTGTCATCCGCGACAAGTGGGAGTTGGGAGAGATTCCCTCCATGGCTACTTCCTGTGCATTTTCGACAGTCTATTTTATTCTCCGCAAGAAGCATGTAATTCTTCAGCGCGGCTCATTATTTTTGCCAACAGGGCCTCAAGCTACAGAGAGAAAATGAATGCTAAAAAAATTTCCCATAGTAAGAGAGAGAAAAAAAAATCTGTCAAATGTTCTCGTGCTTTCTAAATGATAACTTTGCCAATATTTTCATCTCTAATAATGTACTGATTACATGCTGATGGAGTTGGAGGGCTTGTATTATATTACAGTCAGACATAGAAGCTCCAGGTTATGAGTTTCTGTCATTGTAACTTCTAACTATGTTGGTTTTGAGGTGCCAGTCAACAGACAAGTCCAGTTGCAGATCTGACATAGGGCTGTTTTAGACATTATTATTTCATAGGTTGTGTAATTTATGTGTTCAAAAAACAGTGTTGAAAAGCAAATATAAATATTGAAGAATAGATACAGGTTAATGTATAAAGATGAAAATTGTAGAATTTTCATTACTTGTGAGAATCAAGGTTTAACTTACAATATAATAGACTAGCTGTTTTGCAGTACTCCTCTGTGGGGCAAAATGCTATATTTTGGGAATTGATGTAAAAGTAATTGTTTAATATACATCATTTAATTATCTGTCATGAAAAAAGTTTGCCCTGCAAAAGAGTAGTACCACAGTTATTGTGAAAGGATAATATGGTGAAAATGCATTAATTTCTTGAAAATCTTCAATACTCTGCTCCTGGGTATATAACAGACAAATGAAGTGCATGGTTGTGATGAGCAATTATGCCACATCATGTAGTGAAAATGCATAAATTCTTTGAAATTCTTCCTTTCTGCTCCTGGGTATTTAGCAGACAAAATAAATGTATGGATATGATGAGCAGGTGTGCCTCAAATTTCAAGAATTGAGAAATTCATGATATCGCTTTGGCCAAACTCAGTAGAGACCCAATAAATGCAAATGTTTTGAAACACTTTGTGTAGTGTAGATTCAAATTTGTTAAAATCATAACATCTGGGAGTTGGATTGAACCACAATGGGCAGTCAAAGTTTTACATATGGATACATAGGAAAAACCATTAAAAATCTTCTTCTCAAGAACAGCAAAGCCAAGACCAGTCATATTTGTATGGATTGGAAGCATCCTCAGGTAGTGTAGATTCAAATTTGTTCAAATCATGATGCTCTGAGGGTAGGGTGGGGCTACATTGGGCAATCAAAGTTTTTGTTAAGAATATACAAATAGGAAAAAAATCTGCTGATGAAGAACAAGAAGGGCCACCGGTGAGCATTGTGGCCCGTTGGCCTCTTGTTTTACTAAGATTTTGTATAATAAAAAAATGTTAAGTGCACAAAATGAAAAAAAAGGAAACCTGAATTCAGTTGACAGTTATGAAGCCTAATTGAGAAGCCTGGCAGACAATATTGAAGTCTACGTGTTGATCTCTGGCATTGTATTTTCATTATGGAGAGCAAACTTTGTTCTGATGAAGCCTTTTTGGATCTGTCTTTGAAGAAAGAAGAAAGTCATTAT